TGCTGAAATTTTAAAAAGTGCAGTCTTCACCATTTTTTAAACTTATTTTAAAGAGCTGTTGGAGCAGAAAAGTACAGTTACGCCTATTACAGTAATGTATTTATTGTAACAATATAATCTCTTTTCAACATATGCATCAGGAAAACCAGAGACGTACATCTTCATTAACCTCACATGCTTCAGTTTTTAATAAAAAAAGTTCATGATAAAAAACAAAAAATATTTTTTCTAATTGTCTAAAAATAGTAACTTGCCTCCAAACACCAATCATTAGGTTCTTGTAATACTCAAGTCAAAAGATATTTTCAACTATATGGTACAAGATAATGTAGAAAGTTAAATTCCATTAAAATGTGCTTTGTAACATGTGAACACTCACATTACAGTGCTGAGTAAAAGGATACCAACTTTCTTTTTAAAAGCCAACTGACTGCTTCACTGAATTAGCCTTCACTGAATGTTCAGCAATTTTTGATACAACTCAAATTATTCAGAAGAAAAAAAAGCAACCAAATAAACAAAATAGCTCCAAAGATCACACTGGAGGGAGGCTGTTCTAGATCTGATTTTAACAAATAGGGAGGAACTGGATTGAGAATTTGAAAACAGAAGGCAGCTTTGGTGAAAGTGATCATGAAATGAGTTTATGCTTTTAAGGAATGGTAGAAGGGAGAACAGCAAAATAAAGACAATGGATTTGAAGAAGGCAAGCTTTAGCTAATTTGGGAAGCTGGTAGTTACGGTTCCATGTGAAGCAAGACCAAGAGGAAAAACAACTGAAGATAGTCGTCAGTTTTTCAGAGAGACATTATTATGGGTGCAAGAGTGAACTATTTCACTATATAAGAAAGGGAAGTATGGCAAGAGACCACCCTGGATTAACCAGGAGATACTGAATGATCTAAAAATCGAAAAGGAGTTCTACAAAAAGTGGAAGCCAGGTAAAATTACAGAGGATGAATATAAACAAACACCACAATTATGCAAGGGCAAAATTAGAAAGGTGAAGATCCAAAACAAGTTCAAACTAGCTAGAGACAAAGGGTAATAAGAAATAAGCTAAAAATATATTAGAAGCAAGAGAAAGACCATGGACAGGGTAGAACCATTATTCAATGAAGAAGGAAAAACAGAAAATATGGAAATGGCAGAGGTGCATAAAGATGACTTTGTTTCAGTTTTCACAAAGCAGGTCAATGGTGATTGGATACCTAACAGTGAATGCTGGAGAGATTCAAAAGTTAAAACAGGAAAAGAACAAATTAAAGTCTTTTAGAAAAGTTACATATCTTCAAGTCACCAAAGGCCTGATGAAATGCATCCTAGAATACTCTCTCTGAGCCATTAGCTATCATCTTTGAAAAAGAGTCAGAGAAGATGGGATAGATTCCAGAAGACTGGAAAAGGGCATTATTGTGCCCATCTATAAGAAGGGAAGTAAGGACAACCCAGGAAACTACAGACCAGCCAGCTTGACCAGCAGCCTGAATGTCCTATTGCTTATCCACATTAAGAGTAACTCTGCCTTTTCTCAGTTAGCAGCAGTTGTGACACCAATCATACAACCAATCATTGGGTCTTCTTTCTGTGTAACATGCAGCCTATAAAGCAAATGAACAGCTTCTACCACAGCCACAAAAACTGAGAAAAGGCACTTACTGCCTATGGCAAATACAGACAGGCTCTGGTTCATGCTCCTGACTGGTATGCATTCTAAAAGTCAAAAATTCGAACCACAAGAAATATGAAATGTTAAGCGTCAGATCCACAGAAAAGACCCTGCTGCACAACATATTTTTGTAGAAGAAGAGTTACCATTTCAATTTGCCTTATGTTTTCGTAACCCTATACATTTTAATGAATTTAAATATCTGACTAACCAGTAAGGTGTTCTAGGCTTGTAGTCCTTACCTCTGAAGCAGTAGCAGCAAAATTAACATTGGTCGACTGCCCGTTCATTAGCTCCATGCTGCCCACACCATTGATCTTCTGCCCTACATCTATAGCAACAAGGTAGTCACTTCATTTCCAGGGCAAGAGAACAATCATTCCTACAAGCAAATTAAAAGTCATAAATTGTATTATTATTATAATGCTTTTTTTTTTTTGTAGTTTTCACTTCTATATAGAAAAACTGCTTAGTAACAAAAAATATTTTGGGACTACCAAAGCAATAAAAAATGTATCAGTAGCATTCATATGTAAAGGTTTGTTTTGTTTTCAGTTTTGTGAAATATTAGTGCCCCCTTGTGTTGAGAATCAGTTTCCAAGCACAGCTTTTAATGGTTTAAGATTAATAACATTTACTGAATTTCTATTTATGAATTTTGACTTTCAAATATAGAAGCTAAATCAGAACTGTGTCAAGGTTGCAATTAACTAAAAACAGACTGTTTAATATAACTATAAGCAATCTGATAGGCATTTAAAGTGTTTTATTGCAGTAAAAGGCCATTAGACAAAAGACACAAAATAAAATTATTCCTCTCCATGGTAGTTCTTTCAAAAACAATCTTAAATGTATACAGCTTAGTTTTAAATTTCTTGCAGTAATCTTCATTAGTCATTACATCTGGCAAACAGGTAATTCAAAAGACCAAGAAATTGCAATAACTAAAATATAAGTAATTGAGCATTCCAAGGGGGAAAAAAAAACTGATTAAAAAGCTCATTGTGGGAAAGAAAAAAAAAAGTGGGGAGGATTCCAAATACAGGCCTATATCCTGAAGCTTTCAAGATCTCTTCACTGTCCATAAATCCTGGCACAATATATGCTGAGCTAGTCCATTGATGCAATTTAAAGCAGCCATACAACTGCTAGTATTTTAGATAGCAGCAACCTATCAATAGTGGTTACCTTTCAATTCCATCTCTCACATACCAGTTGCAAAAAAGCAGTCCATGAGGTGCTTGGCTAGTCTCAATTCTGTCCAGTATAAATGCAACCACAATAACTATAATCCAGAGTAATAATGAATGACAAAAGTATGCTTTAAATTAGAGATGTTAAAGACTAGTCAACTATACGATAATCATTTGCTTATCAGATAGTCTTTTGACTAATCAATATCCCCCCCCTTTGCTGCCTCTGATATGGGGGGGGGTGAGGAAGGGGGGGGAGAGGAGAGGGGTACTTCAAAGCGGCAGCACCGCATAGCAACACTGCTGCTTTAAAACCCCAAGGCTGCCACTGCACAGCTGATCTGTGGATCAGCTGTGCGGCAGGCTGCCCCTTTAAAATGCCGCAATTCAAAGGGGGCAGCGATGGAGCCTGGAGTCAGCTGGGGACTCCCCAGCTGATTCCAGGCTCCCTATGGCATTTCCCTGGAACCTGGGATCAGATGGGGATTCCCCAGATGGGGAGTTCCGCATTCTTTCTGTGCAGGGGCTCTTGTACATTTCAAAGGAGGAATCAGGAAGTGCCTATCAACTAGTCGATGGAAATTCCATCGACTAGTTGACTAGTCAATTAACCGCATTTTAACATCCTTAGTTTAAATACAAAAAAAAGACTAAATATTCTTTGTTTTTCCCACCAGAGGATTTTTTTTTAAAAATGACAAATTAAGCAGCTCCCCGCACATACAACCAGTGAATATGCTTTCTTACTATTAGTTGGCACAATAATCAAGTAGTTGCTTTGATGCTTCTCTTCAACATTCTTGAATTCTGAAAAGAAAAAGGGGGGGCACTAGTTAAGAGAAGTGGTAATTCAGCCAATTCTCATGCCCCTAACCTAATCTCAGCTCTCAAATTACCTCCTTATTGTGCTCCAGCATCCAATGATTGCCCAACTTCCAAGATTGGTACATCCCTTGACCACCACCGCATCTGGCAAGATTTCAGACAGAAATATCTAAAAGAATCTAAAAGTCTTCTCTCTGGACATGAAACATGGACATGTTTGTTCACTGAATCCTAGAGGAAACCATGAGAGAAGAAAACTATTAGCTCAGCTTAAAAAAAAACCCACTCACAACAAAACAGGAAAACAAAATGCCACTTAAAACTTGAACATCAATTACAGTATACCCAAGTTTCTTACCTCATTGACCACCACTATTCAAAAGTAGCAATGCTCAAAGATGACTCATGCCAAAAGTTAATCAGCAGAGGATGCAGCTTTGTCACAGGATCTGAACAGATTCATGCAAGGAAGCAGCTCCTGCCTCTCATCGCATGGATCCACCAGAAGGATAGAACTATTTAAAGCAGCAAGTTGAATGAACCAAACACACACACACACACAAATAGTTGTATACGTTGCAGGCAGCTGTGCCTGCGATTGTGGAATAAAGACTTTCCATTCAAAATTATGTTTTTCCCCCCTCACACAACTTCAAGAATCATTTGTCTTTTATAACTTTTTGTAAAAGACAACAAATACAATGCTTAAGGAACTAGTTTTTCTGAACAAGAACCAGGAATCAACTATAAAGTTTTCTATCTATGACCTTTGTCCATAAAAGTTTGGGTTTCTAAAAAGCCACTGATTTTTTCAGGATCATCCACCAATCTATTTGATTTCTGTGTACCTTCTGTTTTCTGATCTTCTGTGAAGGGGTTATGTTTAAAAACATTTTACTCTACTGCCATAGTAACTATTGATCAGTTAAACCAGAACACAATGAATTAGTGAAAACAATTATCTTCTCAATTGACACTAGAGCAGTGTTTCCCCAACTGGTACTCCGTGGAACCCTGGGGTTCTGCAAAGCGAAAGTAGGGGTTCCACGAGGAGCCAGCACTCTTTCAGGGGGGTGAGGGAGAGAACGCCAGCTAACCAGCTTCTTAAAGAAGCAGCACACTTTTTTCTCCTTCCTTCCTGATGACGCAGAGGCATAGCGAGGCGGGGGCAGAGGGGAACAGTTGCTTCCAGCCAGCACACTTCGGGGGGGACCAGACAGGGATGACCCCACGTGACCCACAGCAGGGAGGGAAGCACGCGCTGCCTGAACAGCTGGGGCTGTGGAACCCGGTAACTTAGTTCCACAGCCTTTCTGCACACTTTTTTCTCCTTCCTTCCTGATGACGCAGAGGCATAGCGAGGCGGGGGCAGAGGGGAACAGTTGCTTCCAGCCAGCACACTTCGGGGGGGACCAGACAGGGATGACCCCACGTGACCCACAGCAGGGAGGGAAGCACGCGCTGCCTGAACAGCTGGGGCTGTGGAACCCGGTAACTTAGTTCCACAGCCTTTCTGCAT